GACATATAAGGCGCCTATGGATTCCCCTGCACATTAGGAGACCCTCGCACAGTTCATGAACATGTTCAGCACCTTAGCTGAGGCGGGGTTGATCCCACTTGCACCAGCCACATCTCAGACTGGGGGAGGAGCATAGACTCTCACGGCCCGTACCCCATAGCAACGGGTCCAAGTTGATCAGGTCCCAGAGGTTATACTGGTAAAGCCTGTTGCTCCAATTCAGCCCATGGTTAGGGGAGCAACATCTGAGGAGCAACAAGTTAGGCTCGAGAGGTTCAAGAAGTACCACCCTCCTACTTTCAGTGGTTTGGCTTCAGAGGATGCACATGGTTTTCTTGCAGAGTGCCATCGTATTCTCCGCACTATGGCATTGTGACGATAAGTGGGGTTGTATTTACTACGTTCCGGCTGAAGGGAGCAGCATATCAGTGGTGGCGGGCGTACGAGATGGGTAGCCTAGCCGTGGCAGCTTCACTTACATGGGATCTGTTTTCAGAGTTTTTATTAAGAGAGTTTGTTCCTCAGACCCTCCAGGATTCTTGGCACGTGGAGTTTGAGCGATTGCGTCAGGGTACTATGTCAGTGTCGGAGTATGCTGTCTGATTCAGTGACTTGTCTAGAAATGCACCAAACTTGGTTGCCACAGTCAGGGAGTGAGTCCGTCGATTCATCGAGAGGCTCAACCCGAGTATTAGGTTCAGTATGGCTAAGGAGTTGGAGTTAGACAATCCGTATCAGCAGGTGGTTGACATTGCACGGAGAATGTAGGGTATGCGAGACCGTGATAGAGAGGATAGGGAGGCCAAGAGGCCTCGTGGAATAGGGGGATTTAGTGGTGGCTACGCTGCAGCTTCAACCCATCATGGTAGGGGCTATGTGAGCTGCCCAGTTCATTCAGCACTTCTAGCTGCTAGTGGTGTTCCGGTTGTATCGAGGTCCAAGGTTGCACACTTTGCTCAGCCATTTTCTAGAGTACCTCCTACACGGGGTGGCTTCCGCAATCAGTCCAGCCAACCAGTCCTAGCCGCCACGCCTACCGAGAGCTTGTTTTGATTGTGGTGATACCCGCCACATGGTTAGAGACTTCTCCAGACTCAGTAGGGGTGCACCTTCCCAGAATACTCAGGCTCCACGGATTCAGTCAGGTCCGCAAACTTCTCAGGCCATGATTGCTGGCCCAGTTGCCGCTCCACCTGCTCAACCAGCTAGAGGTGGAGGTCGGGTAGGTAGAGGTCGCCCTAGAGGGGGAGGCCAGGCTAGATATTATGCTCTTCCTGCTAGGACGGAGGTGGTTGCATTCGACTTAGTTATCACACGTATTGTACCGGTTTGTCATAGAAATGCATCAGTCTTATTTGATCCAGACACCAATTATTCCTATGTATCATCTTACTTTGCTCCATATTTGGGTATATCCCGTGATTCTTTGAGTTCTCATGTTGTTTTTAGTTGTTCTTGGTGGTTTTGAGACCAGAGTTGATCTGTGGTTACTTAGTATGGTAGACTTTGATGTTATCTTGGGCATGGACTAGTTGTCGCCCTATCATGCTATTCTTGATTGTCACACCAAGACTGTGACACTGGCTATGCCAGGTTTACCACAGTTAGAGTGGAAGGGTGCATTAGATTATGTTCCTAGCAAGGTTATATCATATCTAAAGGCTCAACGGATGGTTTAAAGGGGGTGTAATGTTTATCTAGCCTTTTTGCGGGATGTCAGTGCTGATACTCCTACCTTTGAGTCAGTTCCGGTAGTGAGAGACTTTCCAGATGTATTTTTAGTAGATCTTTCGGGAATGCCGCCCGACAGAGATATCGATTTCGGTATTGACTGTTGTCGGGCACTAAACCAATTTATATTCCACCATATCCTATGGCCCCATTAGAGCTGAAGCAGTTAAATGAGCAGTTACAAGAGTTGTTTGATAAGGGATTCATTCGACCTAGTATGTCACCTTGGGGTGCCCCGATCTTGTTTGTGAAGAAGAAGAATGGATCTATGCGCATGTGTAAAGAATATCGTCAGTTGAACAAGGTTACAGTGAAGAACATGTATCCATTGCCACACATTGATGACCTATTTGGTCAGCTACAGGGTGCTAGAATGTTCTCCAAGATTGATTTTCGGTCAGGTTATCATCAGTTGAAGATTCGGGATTCAATATTCTAAAGACTGCCTTTAGGACTCGGTATGGTCACTACGAGTTCCTTGCGATGTCATTTGGGCTGACCAATGCCCCAGCAACATTTATACACCTAATGAACAGTGTATTCCATCCTTATCTTGATTCATTCGTCATTGTGTTTATTGATGACATCTTGGTATACTCCTGCAATCAGGAATATTATGAGCAACACTTGAGGATTGTGCTCCAGACCTTGAGAGAGAAGAAGTTATATGCAAAGTTCTCAAAGTGTGAATTCTGCCTTGATTCAGTGGTGTTTTTGGGTCATATGGTGTCTAGTGAGGGGATCAAGGTAGATTCGAAGAAGATTGAGGCGGTGCAGAGTTGTCCTAGACCATCTTCAGCTACTGAGATCCGGAGTTTCCTTGGTTTCGTCCGGTAGATTTTGTTTACTCAGTTTGTTGAGACTGCCAGGAGGATCGATCGCATCAGAGGCTAGGCTAAGGAGACGACCTTCGACAAAACGCCCCATCACATTGGAGGACTCAATGGTGCCTCGTCTGGAGGCATGGATTCCTTTGGTAGAGGCCATCCTATGCTGGTTCAGTCAGCTTTAGAGGTTACCTATGGTACTTCACGTAGCCACAATACTTATGGATCTCGTCCCGAGCAGCTAGCATATAGTGCACCTCCATCTCCGATTAGTGCACCTCTGCTACAGAGTACCACTGTGGTTATTTAGGTCAACATCTTTTGTTCCAGGGTTAGAAATCACGTCAGTCGATGGCTTGTTACACATGTGGGGATTTGAGACACGTCGTGAAGTTTTTCCCCATGTCACAGAGTAGTATGCCACAGTAGGGTACTCGTGCCATGATTCCAGCACCGGTGGCTCCACCACCAGCACAGCCAGCTAGAGGCAGGGGTCAGGCAGCTCGAGGTAGGGTCTAATCAGTTAGAGATGGAGGCCAACCAATAAGAGGTCATCCCAAAGGTGGAGGACAGGTTGGTGGGGCTTAGCCCTATTGTGATGCATTTCCTGCTAGACCTGAAGCGAAGTCTATCATAGATGTAGTTATTACTAGTATTATCTCAGTCTATCATAGAGATGCTTCCGTGTTGTTTGATCGAGGTTCCACATATTCTTATGTGTCTTCATATTTTGATTCGCATTTGAGTATGCTTCGTGATTGTTTTGATATTCCTATTTCCGTGTTTAAACTAGTTGAAGATTCTATAGTGGTTGATCGGGTGTACATGTGTTGTTATTATTAAGGGTTTTGATACATTAGTTGATCTTTTGTTGTTGAATGTGGTGGATTTTGAGGTCATTATTTGTATGGATTGGTTGTCCTTGTCTCACGCTATCTTGGATTGTCATGCTAAGATTATTACTTTACCCATGCTAGGGTTGCTTAGACTAGAGTGGATAGGGACCCACGGTCACTCCACTAGCAGGGTGGTTTCATATTTGAAGGCTTGGGGTATGGTCGAGAAGAGGTGTTTGGCGTATTTGTCTTATATCCGTAATTCTAGTTCAGAGGTTCCTTCTATGGATTTGGTACCGGTTGTTAGTAAATATCTATCACCCCGAACCTGGGGGGCGAGACCGACAACTGGTGCCTCACTTAACCTTGCATACCAACTTGCGACTGAGGGACTCTGAACATACAATGTCATAATTTGGCTATGGTGCCACATTGCAAGACAATTTGCAAAACAAAATATAAAAATGAACGGAAACTAGCTCTGACTAGACATCAATATAAATCTAGGCTGACAAGGCCGTCATAACTACTACAACTGACAAACCAACAAATATACATACAAGGCCTACAAGCCCAAAATACTGCACCAACATCACTAGTACCAACATCAACACAACCATTTTCATCATCTCCACCTTCACTCTCTAGACGGAGCTTAGAAAAAAATATAAACAATTGTAGCAAAATATTTTTTTAATATTGTCTAAGAGATTTTTTGTTGAAGCTTTTTCCAAAAGGAAGAAGAATATTTTGGTGATAAAGCGGATATTACAAGAAAAAATGCATTTAAAATGAAACCAAAAACAAATGATAGTTCATTTATTCGGCTACTGAATTGGCCAAATTACGTTTTTCCTTTTTTCCCATCACATTGTGTTAGTACATATTTTGGGACTGAACTAATCGGGATTAACATCGGGAGTCAAATAAGTATTTACAAAATACTGGACGGAGCCTAATTGAAATATGTATATTTAATAGTTTTGAAAATTATTACAGTGATTAAATATTTTATGAAGCGAATATTAAAAAAATATTTTGCTACAATTACTTATATTTTCCCCTAAGCTCGGTCTAGAGAGTGAAGGTGGAAATGGTGAAAATGGTGGTGGTCATGGCGGTGTTGGTGGTGGCACTAGTGGTGAAGGGATATGAGGTGCTAGTGGTGGACGAAAAAGGAAAGGTGAGGAATAAAATGGGTTGAGGGCAGTGAGGTGACATGTCACGTGGTCAAAAAATGTTAATGCCACGTGGAATTTAGCGTTCACCTTGGATAATGTTAACGAAAGAAGCATATATTTGATCCAATTATATAACAGGAGAAATATATTCAAACACAAAATATAATAGAGGATAAACTTGATCCTTTTCTTATAGTAAAGGGGTAAATTTTGAACCTTTTCCCTATAGGGGTAGGGCGGGCAGCGTTTTTCTTTCTTTTCAGATTAAAAATCACGTGCTATGCACACGGATTTTGTTGTACAGTTAATTTTAGACGAAAATGTTAACTATGGACCAAACTTGTTCATTTTAGGACACATGAGGGATGTTGTTTGTTAGCTATAATATATTAAGGATGCACTTGAATCTGCAACTATACTTTAAAGGATGATTTTCGTCAAAACCTCGAATTCCCATTGCCAAGACTTAAATTCAAACATCTATTAAGGTTTCCTCCGCACTCCTTTCTTGCCTTGACATGGACTTGTCAACTTGCCCTTTCTGTAATCTCACAGTTCTCACCCTTGAACTCGAAAGGTATACCCGTAAAACTTCGCTTGTCTACTCTTCTTTTCTTTGTGCTTGTTTGTTATTCTGTTATGTTCTATGCCAATTGCTAATTTTTTCTTTCACATGTTCTAAATTTGACACTATTAATACAGACACGCAAACAGTCACTTCGACGATGAAGACATTTCCAAGGACTTGGAATTGGCACAAGAAATTTCCCTTGCCTCCTCAAGTCCATCTTATTTCCAGGTACCCCTTTTTCTCTTTGTGAATTAACTATTAATACTGCTCTTTTATTAGATCTTTGATAATCCCTGGAAATTATTAATTTGACTATCTACACAATGGCCATCACCATTTTTGTAACCCTTAGGGGCAGTGAGGGGCATATTTGACTAATGACCCTCTTTGGGGCGAAGACTCCAAAATCTAAAAGTAGGGTTAGGGTTTCAAACTTCTCGTTAATAATAGGGTAAGCTTTCGAACTGCCGTTGGCAATGTGGGATGGATAAGCATCTTTACCAATGATGTGGGTGCTTTTGTTATTTGCTAGTTGGTTTTATCATTAGGAAGGAGCTTTGGAGCAACACTAAAGTTGTCTCCCTCTGACCTACATGTCACGAGTTCGAGCCATGGAATGAACCATTAATATTTGCATCAGAGTAGGCTTCCTACATTACAGCCCTTGGGGTGCGTCCCTTCCCCGGACCTGTGTGAACGCGAGATGCTTCTTGCACCAAGCTGCCCTTTTCTTAATCATTTCGTAGATAACCTTATAGTCTGAAATTGGTTAATGTCTCTTGTAAATATATCTTTAATTGTAACTATGATTGCAAAATTTCATATGGAAGATTCTTCTATGTGGATCTGGAAGAAGCTGGTTTTTAGACTTCCTAATAAGTTATTTTTTGAGAAAGGTAAGAACTTGAATACATCTATCATTAGCACAAAGGCAGTGCTAAATGCTGTGTTACTGTTAAAAAACAAGAAAGTGTATCCCTGTTCTTCTTACAAGGACTCTGTAGCGTCTAGGATAGACTATGCATCATCTACAAGTTGTCCTTCTAACAATTTACAAGGACTTCTTAATAAAATATGCATAACACTTAGGTTTTGCCTAACTTTCTGTCTTAATCGTGACTTCTGCTATGTTGCATTCTGAAGGGTTTTTTCCCCTCCTTAATTAAATTAAAACTTTTAAGGATTTGCCTAACTTTTTGACATTATTTATAACTTTTGTTAAGTTACAATTTGAAGGAGGAATTGAAGATCATTTCCTCCTTCAAATTTTATTATATTTTTAAAGATTTCTTAGCTTTTTGACATTATTTGTTACCTTTGTTAAGTTACATTGAAGGGCTTATTCTTCTTTCATATTTAGTTAATTTTTTTAAGGATTTGCCTAACTTTTTTGATGTTACCTGTAACTTTGTTAAGTTATGTTTTGAAGGTTTTCTTTCCTCCTTCAAATTTAATCAAATATTTTGAGAATTTTCCTAACTTTTTTCAGCGTTACACTTTGAGTTTCTTTTCTTTTCCTCCGTCAAATTTTATAAAACTGTTTCTACCTCCATATAATTTTGGAGTCAAATTTGTATTTTTTGGCTGCAAATGTTTAAGAATTTTAGAGCATTAAAATTTCTAATATTCTTAGTGTATTTTAAATTGGTAAAATTTGTCGTCCAAAAATGGCTTGTTACATAAGATGGGATATAGGGTCCTAAAAATAATGAAAAGGTTGTAACCTTGTTTTTTGCTAGCTCTAACTTTCTAAAGACTTGTTTACATGATCATCAGGTTGATCATGCCATGCAGTGTGAAACCAGTTCTCGGAAGAATCATGAGAATAGTTTCTTGAAATGTGATGCCAAAAATTGCACACCCGGAGAGAAAGATCTAACTGAAGAGATAAGGATTTTAGCTAGTGTGCAGATCAAGGAAATCTGCCCTCAGATTGGACAAGGCTCGATGGATTTGTTGAAGAACTGTTTAGAGTTGGAGACTGAAAAGACCACCACTATTTTGTGTGGTTTTGTTGATCATTTTCAAAGCAGCCCTTCAGAGGATTTTGGGTGGGGTTGTGGGTGGAGTAATATCCAGATGCTTAGTTCTCACTTGCTTAACCAACATCAAGCAGCAAGGGAGGTGTTGTATGGAGGTTCTGGGTTTGTACCTGACATCCCTTCACTCCAAAGATGGCTTGAAATTGCTTGGCAAAGAGGCTTTGATAAACAGGGCTCAGAAGACTTTGATCGAGCAATTTATGGCAAAAGAAATTGGATTGGAACAACAGAATGTGCTACACTCTTCCGTTCGTTTGGCGTTCGGGCCAGAATAGTGGACTTTATAAGCCGTGACTCTAGGTCTAATGGAGTCGGGAATTATGTCAGCAAGATGTCACTGCAGGTTTATGGACCAATGGATAGATATCTGTCCAAAAAGAAAAATGATATATCTGAGGCTGTTTCTATTTCGTACGATGTAAAGGCTAAGCCTAGGGTACAACAGGCACTCGTTGATTGGGTGTGGAGTTACTTCTGTGACAATAAATTCAAGAATTCAAGCAATCATGGTATCCTAGTGAGTCAAAAAGCGTAAGTGAATTTAGTCAACAACTATATTTCCTTGATTAACTAGGACTATGCAATCATCTTATTTTTCCATGAATTTTCTTTTCCGAGTTGTTTCATCAACATTATCTCTTTTTGTAGTGGGATCGCTTATAAGCTTCATTGAAACAGGCCCTTGTACTTCCAGCATGATGGCCATTCAAGAACCATTGTTGGGATTCAAAGTAGATGTCAGAGAAATGGGTCGATACATTACAATCTATTGATCTTAGATCCAGGTCATGTAAGTATATGCACATGCATTGATAAGCAAGTCTTTTATCACGGCTCTATTATTGCTTTGTTCTTTATGCACATCCCTGATGGCTATATTGCGATACTTCTTGAAAGGATTTTTAGTTATCCCTGATGACCATATTTGTCATATTCCTTGAAAGGTGTATGTTACATCCTTAGTCTCCTCTTCCCTAGTTAAATGATTATAATGAGTTTATTTTCTTTTATAAACCATTTTCTTGTTATCTTGCCGGTGTTACTGCCTGTTGCTATTGCTTTTTTCATCTTTCCTTGAGCTGAGGGTCTATTGGAAACAACCTCTCTACCTTCTCAAGGTAGGGGTAAGGTCTGCATTCATGCTATCCTCCCCAGACCCCACTTGTGGGATTACACTTGGTTTGTTGTTATTGTTGTATTAACTGAAGATGGAACAGCATATTACATTAGATGTTGGTTTTATGATTCAGAAAGTTGGCTATGCTTCATGACTTCCTCTTTTGGCAGTTGGGTTCATGGTTTAACCTGCTTATGTATCAATTATCATTGGTTCCAGAACTAAGAAGTCTTAAGGAATTTTAGACTTTTGCATTAAATGTGTTGTTAAGGGTATTCTTACATTATCAATACAACTGGAATTGTATTATGTGGTCTAGATAAGCACATATGAGAGATTCGTGAATGTGCTGCTCTCATTTAATATTGCTGTGCTGCAAATGTGCACACTTATTAAATGTTATCGTTTAAGGTTCTTAATCATGTTTCCTTGCATGTTGTAGTTCTCATCACTTAAGGTTAAGACATGATTTGGGAATGCCTGAAGATGGGATAGTTATCGAAATGTTTTGCTTTCTCCTCCCTCCTTCTCTTGTTGAGGTGTTGAGAAGAAATCAAATAATGCTGTTCATTGCAAAGCTATTTAATGCCCTTCCAAGTTAGGGCGAAAGCTAAAAGACTTCTGATTTTATCGTTCTTTTTACTCGTAAATTTTGTCAAAATATCAAATTGCCTGTCCCGGGGTTTTGGGG